AATGTCTAGCTCTTTCATAAACTGATAAATGTTATCTGTTACTGCACAAACCACCTGTTTGTATCAAATGAATGTAACACTAACCTAACAAATAATTAATAATTCAATCCCCATATTTACAAATTGTATATATGGTTAAATCGTATACTTTTGTATTTATTTGTCTCTGATTAACAACTAAGATGTTAATGAGAGGAACAATGTTTATATGAAAACAAAACAAGATCATGGAATGCAGCAGTATGGTAGAAGTGCTGAAGATACTGTTACAACTATTAAATTATTATTATTTTGGTGTTAGGAATCACTGTAATCAAAATAAGTATTTTTTGCAAAATGACAGAAATTGTCCTAAACTGTTACCATGGTACGTTTTAGTAATGGAGGGGGCGGAACTGTGTAAAAATGTTGATAATTGATATCTTGCAGCGGGAGGGTTTAGAGACAGACACCGAACATGGCGGCGCTCGGCAGCCTTGCAAATCGCCCAGAAAGCGGCGAAAAACAAATCAAATCTCCACTCGTATCTCCCCTGAAAGTGCGAGAACTTCTCAACGAAGGGGTCGCTTCGGAAGACAACGTGTTAAATTGGTAAGAGTTCCGCTATAATGAGAAAAAAAGTTGCAAAAGGGTGAGAATGTGTGCGAAGAAAACGGCAGGGGCGGTGAACAATTGAGCAAACGGATAAGTTTTTACTGTTAACCCTGGTGGAAAATTGAACTGAAATGGTAGTTGTGTTTTGGAACGTGGGAGATTATCCAAAATAAACATTAACTAATGCACACTGCTAGTAAGTCTTGGTGAATCATAAAGAAGACTACCAGTTAGACTTTAGACTAGAAACAAACCATGTTACCAATCTACCTGTCAACCTGTCGTTGGTTTCTAGCTGATAGACCTTCTTAGACCAGCCACAAACCAACTAACTGGCTTTTGAAACATGGCAGTTGGACCTGGTCTACTACCGTGTTTTAAAATCTTATAATTAAAATCTTATAACGTATTTTTCTCTAGAGTGATGCACGATTGATGAATGTTTTTGGACTAGCATGTATGTTTTTCCTGTTAGAATTAAATAAGTGCTGCAAAGGCACTTAGGTAGGTTCTATTTATGCCTGGAAAATATGGATTAATGGGAATATTGGCTGCATAGTTTATGCATAACACACTAGGCTGATTGACTTTCTTCCCCATATCTCAGTTCACAGCAGGATCCAAACACACTGTCTCCAAATGGCCTTGGGAAAGCTCCTTGTGAAGCAGCAAACAAAGAAGCATTTTTCAACAGAGTAGAATCCTACTCGATATCCTTTTGAGTGTTGTGTGATGCGAGAAGCTCACAACCAGTTTGTGTTGCATAATAAACTGCATTCCTGGTATAAAGATTAATCATAAACTCAGCCCATTGATTCTTCATTGATTTCAAAATGTTGCATCACACATCTAATGTGATGATTGTGATTCAATTCTGCCAGACAATCTGTGATGAATAAAAACATCCTTATAATCTGACAGACTTTGTCACAATGAAATCAGAACTGAGTTCTGTTTTTTTCTTCTTTTTTTTTTGGGGCAGAATGTTGCAGTGTGTATTACTAATATTCTGCCCCAAATTTTTCCACTTGGGTATAATTAAAAATAAGGAAGAAAAGACGCCGGTCTCATTTATTGTTTTTGCTAAATTCATCCTTAACATAAGCACTGTCTGAAATGGGCTGGAAAGCCCCATGCGCTCTCGCCGCTCAGATGTGCGCGGTATGGCTGGATCAATGTAGACTGTGACATGCTGAAGTGTTCTAGCTGCCAGGCTTTCCTCTGTGCATCAATACAAGCAACCTTGGACTTCCAGAAATGTAAGTTTTGGACTATTTATATTCTAGAGTGAAGGCATATTTTGTATCTGCACACATTCACTTATTAATTTTTCCTTTTTTAGATGAAGTACGGATTTCGGAGTTGCTACAGCAGCTTCAAACGCAACATGAGAAATTCTGTTCCTGGCCAGATTTTCCATGTCCAGGTATCTTGAGAGGTCTACTAGTCTGTCTGAAATCTTAATCAGACATTACTAGTAAATAGTGTGTGTTTTTTTCCAGATCGCTTCTGGATGGTTCCTATTAATGAGCCTACGGTATTACTCAGTGCCTTTCTAGACCGTTACAAGAGTGCTTGCCTTCTAGAACAGCAGCTGCCTGCTATGAAGCCAGAGCAACTAAAAGCCATGGTATGATGTCTTATTTTAAAGGGAAGTCCAAGAATAATTCTTCTGTGCATTCATAATTTAGTTTTTTGTTGTTGTTGTTGTTTTTTTTCTCAGACCTTGACTGAAGATGTAATAATTGTCCTCCTTAAGCTGATTGAAGATGAACAAGTGAAGCAGGGTGGTTCTCCTTCTAAGGTCTCAACAGATCCATTCTCTGTACAGGTGGCAGCATGTATCATTGCTCTTTGTGGTTGGGCAGCCAGGTAAACATCCAAACAGTCACGTTTGATCCAATCTTGGCAAATTTCCTGCTGAACATTTGTTTCACCTAACTCGTTCCGTGTTTCCATTTAGCCCGTCTCTCCACGCTATGAATCTGCCCATCCTCACTTGTTCTTACTGCATGAGAAAGGTAGGAATGTGGAACTTCTATCAAATGGAGACAGTTTCAGAGAACGAAAACCCTCCACAGTCTCCAACATCTACTACCGCCTTGACTCCATCTCAAGGCACCAGTGGGGAAAAGGGGACGCCCCCCTCACCATCCCAATCCCCCACTCCATGTCGCATGAAGCTGCGTAGTCAAGACTCCACACGCTCTGAGCAGGTGGGTCTTTCACATTGTGACATTATACAGTATATCTGGATATAGTAAATGTTTTAAGTATGTAGTTTCTATACAAACAAAACTGGCAATGCCCAATATATTCCGTTCTTCAGTCATAACCATCTAAACTATGTCAACATGCATGTAGATGGAGAGTACACCATCCCCTCTGGTCCACCGCGCCAGAAGCAGGGACTCGCCTATCCCACATGAGGAGCTTCCCAGCCCTCTGTCCAGGGGCAAGAGACCCATGACTCGCAGCAGGGGCCAAGGAGATAACCTGGCTCTGGATGTGCCCTCCAGTCCACAGAGAAAGACAAAACGGCCACGTCTCTCCTCTACCAGTGGCCCTGTAAGGACAATCTATTATTATTTTTTAAATATACTAATAATAACTTCTATTATAATAATAATGTTTTACTATATTATTATTATTATGATTGTAGAATGATATTATATTATTAAATATATTTTGTTTGTCAGCATAACTCAATATGTACTCTATTTCTTTTATACACACACCGGGTCTGTTACTATTATTACTGTATATAAAGTTGTTATTATTACTATAGAACGATATAATATTGCTATACATACATTTTATGTTTGTTACTACCTGGGCAAACACTATTACATTTTAAACACCAAATCGAAGCACTAAAGCCTGTTTTGTTTTTCTGTTATAGGAAGGGCCAATGCACAGAAATGTGTTTGACCCAGTAGCCCAGCACAGAGACTGGTGTCCTTGGGTGAGTGTGGAAAGAGAGGAGGGCGATCTAGACGGCTCTGTCTTCGTTGGCTGTGAGGCTGAGGTCCCTCAGCCAGGCTGGAAAGCAGTGCTTACTCTGTTCTTATCCATGAAGAGAAGCCTCAGTCCAGTGGGGGCCAGTCCATCTCAGGTGAACCAAATACGACATCTCTATATTTTGCCAAAGCAATCATTTTCATCACTCTAATGTCCTGTTTTTTTTTTTCATCCAGGGTCCTCATGACAAATCAAAAAGGGTGTTCTCGATATTCCGACAGTGGCAGGTATCTTCCCCATCCCAGTAAGTTGTTTCAGAAGGTGGACTGGGAAACCCTGGTGATTGTTATCATAGTGGTACGCTGTCCTTTGTAACAATGACAGTGGTTTTCAGAGTGTTTCTTGATCAAGTGAATCTTGTTTACTGTATTGGGTTTGGTTGGGAAAGGGACAGTAAATCCACATGGATCAAGCGGCCTGTACTGAAAGACCTTGGCTTGGAGCAGGAAAGCCCGACAGAGTTCTTCTCAGAAATTAAAATTTTACCACACTGTTTTGAATCTGGGCCTGTCCAGTCGGCATTAGAACATCAAAAGACTGGTGACCGACGCTTTTTACCTCACATGGACAGCCAAATAGTCCTCACCACCTCCCTGGGTATGAGGCTTCATAGGGTTTTAGCGTAAATTTAGGGGAAGCTTTAGTGAAGCGCCAAGAACTACACTGGAAGACATGTTAGTTGTATCAATGCTTTTCACATAATAGTTTAACTGAGGAGAACCAGTGTTTTCAGGTTTGTGTGTGTTTTCTGCATTGTCTAAGTAGGTATATTATATTTACTTCCATAAATGTGAATGGGACGAACAACATTTTTATCGCTCTCATCTTTAAAGATGTTTATCACCTTTATCATCTTTTACCCACATGCCAGCTGAAGTAGATGCCATATTTAGAAAAGAGTGCCAATATAAATGATTTTACTTTTTGATTCACTTTCTCTGAAAGTGCTGCCTGTAGTGCATCATGCATGTTATTCTTGTGCATGTCTGCCTAAATTTAATAAACATTTTCCCTTTGCTGGTTTTCACTATGTATGTCTTTTCATTATGGTGTCTTAAAGGGGTACTCCACTTTTTAAACCTTTGACTCCTATGGCTTGTAAAATGCTATATTATTAGTTCTTTTAATAAAAAAAAAATAGGGGAAATGCCTTTTCATATTTATTTAGTACCAAAATTGGTCATTAAAACCGTTTAAAAACAAATCCACATAAATACAAAAATATGTTCGGTAAAACACAACAGCCTTCTTAACAAAGGTCATTGCCCCAACTGTCATCCTAGCCTAGAAGAACTACAATTTTGCGAATATACTACAAATGTGAGTCGTCAGCTGTTTTTGACGTAGCCCGAAACACCGCATAGAAGGAGGGGGACACCTTTCGTCGCGCAGACATGACGTCATCGGCGGAGGGATAGATAGTTGTGAGAGAGCAGTGTGGGGCGGGCAGAGGACTACCAGTACTATCCGCTGCGGACAGAAAGTGGAGGGCGAAAACTCTCGGAACGACAGTTTGCCGTATGCCAATGTGCAAAAATATACAGTTTCGGTAGAGGCCAAGGGATCGAGAATCAGTCGCAGAAGATTCGAGCTTCGGTCATCGGAAAGAGGAGTAAAGATGTCGTCTCCAAGTCCGGGCAAAAGACGAATGGACACCGACGTGGTGAAACTGTATCCTTTAAAATATAAACAACACAATTACTGTAAAGCTATAGCCGTCAAACACCTCCAATATTCACGAAAACCGCCTTAAAACGCCTCTCCTACTGCTTTAAAACCATTCTGGGCGCCCGTCTGGTCTGAAAAACAGTTGTCAAAGCCAGTGTAATGGTTTATTGGATGGTGATCAGCTTTTGACGACAAAAGTGTTTTGATGGTTGTCAGTGCGGCCAGCAACAAAGCCAAGATTCATAAACGTTCATTTCTCAAATAACACAACTTAACCTAGAAATCTGATTTTTCTCGACGGGATTTGTTCGTTGTCAGCGTTCAAAGGCAGAAATGTTGAGGATTATTTATAGCAGATATGTTGCTCTGTGTCCTTTGAGTGTTTTGTCATCGCTTTTCTCTTCAAATCCACACCAGCGCTTGACATCCGCAGGATTTAAACACATATTTGTAAAGATACCGATCGGATATCAATATTTATATGATATCTGACCAAACTAGACGTGTTTTGGAACAAAATAGTGAATGTTACTGGGCATTTGGCCTGCTAGCGAGCTAGCACAACCTCACAAGCCAGTTATGTATTTATTTGTTGATTGTTTTTGTTGCTGTTTTATAATCAAAACAGACATTTGTTAGCCTTTCAAGAAATTTTAAGACGGATTTATTTGTATTACACGAAAACAATGCGATCCTCACATACAGATCGTTGATTTAAATATAGACGTTTTAAAATGCTCTTTAAATAACAACAAATCACAAATGACATAAACTTCACATTCGGCGTCATTTTATATTCCTGTCCGAATGTGTGGGGTTTTTTTGTTTTTTTTTTGCATTGAGGATCCATTTTGTTTTTCTGGCTTTTGTTAAGATCGAATGTTGTCGTTTGGGGGTTACATTTTTTTTAAATGGAAATTTAGCCTGTACTTAACATCTTTCTTTTTCAGATTTTAAAGCTTTTGACATGAGAACAGGGGAAGTTGTGTTGTTGCTACAGTGGTTGGGTGCGGATGTTTGTGTCTATGTCACCAGTCCATAAGAATCCCTTTAGTTTATATGACATAATTGACAAACAGCAAAAGTTTTGTGGAGTTGTTTTTCGTCCGCTTTTGCTCAAGAGTGCCATGGCTACTATGCGTGTAACATGCCTTTATTCCTAATGTGGTTTGGCTGTGCTGTCAGTGTGTTTTGTTGAGGTTTTTGTCTTAAGCATCTAGAACACGCAGGTCTGTTGGTCTTTTAAACGTTTGGTTGATCATTTATGAAGTGCAGTTATGTCGAGCTGTTTTAAACAAAAGAAACCCGCATATATTTGTTTGCTTTAAAGCTCCAGAAAATGGTCTTGTTTCTGACTGTCGTCATGCGACTCGGAGCTGTTTAGTGCTTGTCTTATGTATGATTATGACGTCTGCATATTAAAAAGTAAATTATGAAACACTCTTTGAGATATTTGTAAAGTCCTGAAAGGCTCTGGGAATGTCTCCTTCTGTTTTTGTCTCGAGCAGTAGGAACTAGCCTTATGATTGGCCACTCTGTTACTACCCGGAAACTGCAAGTAGGTGGGATTAAACAGTGAGCTGAGAGACAATATTTCCTAGTTAAACCTGAAGTGTGTGTTTTTCCGATGGCAAAAATACTCTTTTCCTGTATAATATTAATTGGCGTTTATCATTAAGCTATTATTAGATTAATTTATCTGAAAAAGTGTGAACAGTGTAGATATGTGATGCTGTCAAAACGTTGCTGTTTGTATGTTCTAAAAGTAAATATTATTTATATTTAAGTATTTTTGGCATTTTTGCCTTTATTATGATAGGACTTTATAGGAGGTGAAGTGGGAGAGAGATTTGGAAAGGTCCGCAAGCCGGGACTCGAACTCGGGATACCCAAACCCTACTCTGGGCCACAATGTTGTTATTGGGTTTGTTGAAGCCATAAATTCGCATTATTTTAACATATTTTTTAAATAATTGTGTTCAGCAGCAGAATTCCTGGTGGAAAACCTACATTACCCATCATTCTTCAGAGAAATCTCCACCAATCAGAAGTTAATCACGCCAAAAGAACCGCCCACCCCCATGAAGCACTGCGAATGATGTAAACAAGTCAGTCTCCTGCGCTCTTAAAAAATGTTTGGATGCATAAAATGCATATTTTATAATTAACATAAGTATATTATTTCTATAAACAACATCTTTATAAGTTATATAGTAATTCATCGTTGTTATTTTTTCGATTGTCATTTGCAGTGCTTCTTGGGATTGTAGTTCTTTCCCTCATTAAAGCTGATTAGTACACAATCTTGTACTTTTGTCTTTTTGCCCGATTTTAAATACTTGTATGCTTCAAATCAAAGTTTATAATGTTGAGATTCACCCTTGTAGTTTTTCAAAAAGGATTTCTTAAAATAAAACTTAAGGTATAAAATTAATGGGGAAAATACTTCTGGAAACAAGGCAGCTAAAAAAAAGTGAACAGGCACTATTGTGCCCCTATGAGTTTGGGGGTGGAGTCATCTGTTTACAAACCAATAGCACACTAGGAAACCTGTTTGGTATTGCTAATAGTGATACACACTTCTGGAGCTGAGGGTAGAGGTTAAAGGTAAATGGCTTTAATTACTAAAAACAGCTGATGGCTCAACTTTTTAGAGCCCTTCAAGCAGGTGACAAGTATGACCTAAAAGTTTCCTCTTAAAGTATTTAAAGGAAGATCGGAGGTGGGATACACACACACACACACACACACAGATAATTACAGTAATGATGTAATTTAGCTTCCTGTATTATTATGGTCAGCTGGACCCCACAAAACTTTCACTAGGAGAACAAGGCGACTTTAATTGTCCAGGCTGTCCAGCTGGACTACCTGTTGGCTGACATATTAATGGCAGGTGAGAGGAGCCTAATCGCTCAAAACTGCTCGGTTTGGTGAGGTTTGTCACATTTACATTAGCTTAATCGTGAGAATTTATTCACGGGATCTAGGACAGCTATGCAACAATATGGTAGGTGGACTGACACATTTCTGTCATTGCAAAACACATGCAAAGAAGCCACCCTCCCCCAGAATACACACTGACAGCCATGAGAAAACACAACTTAAATACCCAATTCCCTTAAGGGGAAACCAACAGACATGTGACAACTGGGAGCAGGTTTCCAAAGTGCCTCCTGTTGCTTGGGACAAGTGTTTGCAGCTGGGATGTGGAGCTTTCCATGTATAAGTTGTTTTCTGCATTATCCTTCTGAAATGCACATCTTCTGAAGGGCAAGCAGCAGGGCCGTTTAGAGAGAGAGTTGCTGTTATGACCGGACACTGCGATCAACGCTCAGTAATTTGCTGCAGGCACCAGAGAGCTGCGGATCTGGAGCACGCTCAACTGGGAATTCACAAAATGAATGTCAGAATGACCTCGCCTTGCTGAGCTGCCTTAAGCACTTCCTAAGCTCGAGAGAGAGAGATGATGACCCGTCTTTGACATCACCAGATACTTCTGAAACATGTTTGAACAGGTCAAAGCTGGCTGTTGGCTTTGACAGGGCAGCATGGAATAGCATAATGTCAATATGTTGTGTAACATCTGTTGCACTTCTCCTTCTCACTTTAGCCTATCGTCTGTTCACTGAGAGATGTAGGTCTTTTGAATGTATTTATCTGGAACTCAAAGACCTCCTGATTTAATCAGTGTGGACTGAGCTCTAGTGGTTCTTATCTCATGTTTTTTTTTTCTCACTTTGCCAAACCACGTCTTGATCTAATTAGCTAGAGCAACTGTAACCAAAGGGCTCAAGTTAGCAAGGTCAGTTTACCTACTGAGTGTAATGATTTGTCATTATGAAATCTATGTCATTAATAAGATTTCACTGGACACCTCAGAGTTGAACTATTCTTAACTAATATTATATTATTTTGATCTACAGAGATTTCTTTGTGCTTGAAATTTGGCCTAGCTTAAAAATATATATTTTTAATAAAACATCACTAAACTATTGTACACAATTTGTGCTACGAACATAATTTATCATGTGAATTATGACTTTCACTTGCTAAATTACTAAACGGAAAAATGTTAAATTGACTTAAATCCTTAAATCTCCTACAATTTAAGACTAAGGTTTACGTATGCACTTATAGTCTTTTTCTGTCTGTCCATATATATATATATTTTACTAAGAGGAATCAAATATTTAAGGGATTAAATATGTTGCGTGTCGCTTATGTTAATCAAATAGCAAACGAAAATGAGATGATCACACTCAGCTCTTGACTGAATAACTTGTTAAGCTTTAATAAGAATCACTGTATATTTAATTCATACAGTGAAGGCTACGCATAATTTTTTTAAGTTTTAGTGTTTGTTGTCAATGTCTCTATAGCAATATATAACACACTGAATCTGAACTAGCCATGATAAAAGTCTCTTACATTCAATTTGTCTCAACAATCATTAGATTAGATGCTGAGTAGCCCTTCCCAAAGTACAATCTCATTAGCCCAAACTTCTACTTCGCATGGCATATTAAATATCAAAAATGTTCTGATTATGCCATGTCGTGCAGCATTTCAATGTGGCAAGAAAAAATATGTACTGGAAACTTGCAGCATTTATACATGGCTAGAACGTGGTATCGTGTTAAGTTCAGTATTCAGAAGGCGTAACCTTTTTGATTTGATGACTTGTGCTGGGTTCGAGCATTGTATATCAAGGTGTGCTCTTAACACAAGTGCAGTAGATGCTTGCTAGTTTTTCAACTCGTTGGTCTGTAATCAGGGGACGTTTGTGCTGGATTATTGTAAACTTGCTTCCACTGTGAGCAATAGTTTGGCAAATAAGAGCATTTAAGGCCTGTTTAATAGTCTGCATAATGGCTACTGGCATCACTGCCAGCTCCTACATGTTCTTTGAATATGCAAACACATAAAATATCTAGGTGTTCCTATTGTGTTGTCCTTCTTTAATCTTGACTACTAAGAAACAAGTAGAGGATTATAAATTG